AAGGAAAATTTTAAAGGACAGGAAAAGATGGGACACGGAAGGAATACCCACGCTGTTGGAACAGTAATTGCGGCAGGTTTGCACTGCTGTGAAGAGAAACACTGCAGAAGGGCCCATAGATGAGAGTGGAGGCAGTGAGACTTGTCCTCTGCTGCCTGTGTCCATCTGTTTGGGGAACATTCTCCTGCAGGGAACAGGAAAATCCCCAGATCCATCAGCACACCAGCAAGCTGCAGTGTGCACAGGAAATGGAGCACTGCACTGATACCCAGGGTGAAGCCCAGCTGTAGGTCCCAACTCCATGCAGGGACACCCCACACACCTGGAGCCAGGGGTCTCTGGAACACTGGGTCACTCTAAATTCAGACAGACCCATTCTCCCGTGCTTGTGCTGGTTGGTGCTGGAGGGGAGCTCTCACTGCTGACGTTATCCACCTAGGAGAGGCAATGTCACTTTGGAGTGAAGCCAAAGCAGAGCAGGTTTTGGGAGTGTGTGGATGGGGAGCTAAGAGGGCGATGATTTCTCACCTGCTCTTCCACACCTTCTGTCCAGGAAGTTTGTTGGAGGTTGCAGGCACCTCCAATAGCACAAAGAACCTCTGTGCTGCCCATTATGGTAATGACCCTCTGCATAATCTATGATCGTTCTGGACAGCCAGGTTTAATCCTACTGATTTATCTTGCACATACAGTTCTTGGATCACAAAATTCAGACCTTGCTAAAAGTTTTGTAGTTGTATTAACAATAAAATGCTGCTGCTGAATGAAGGTCTTGTGCTTCTTCAGCAGCAAATGATGCCCAGCTATTGATCTGGGGTTGTTATATGCACACTGGTGTCAAGTGCGCAAGCAAAGTTCCCATTTCTGTCTTCAAGAGCAAGCTAGGGCAGGAGCTTTCTATGATCTTTCTCTTTTGTCATGATCTCTTCCATGTCTCTTCTACACTAGACTACACCTGGCCATAGGGACAGAACCCTCTGTTGTCACTTTCCACTTCAACCCACCTGCATCCAGCTGGCATTGCCTTAGTAATGCTCACTCACTGGACCAGGTCTTGGATCAGATACACAGCTCAGATGTGGAAGCCACAGTGTAAATGAAGCACATTCAGGATTTCTGCACTGTCCCTCAGTCCAAACCACAAAAGAATCCTCTAAGCTCCAATGAAGTGCCCACATCTTTTGCCTAGTCCTTTGCCTCAGCAGAGCTGGGTTGACAGATGTTCTTATAATGTGGATCAAATTCTAGCACTGAAAAGCTGTTGGAAAGTTATGGACACAGTTTCATTGTTTCAATTCAACACTTGCCTTGTTAGAAGAATGGGGTGATTCCCCTGCTTGCCATCTCTTTTAGGACTAACATACATGAAACAGCAAGATTTCAGGCTTCAGTCCTGGGCTGGAGCTAAGAAACAGTTTTGTCATTTATACTCTGCCATGAGCTGGATTCTTCCAGCTCACACCTCTAGCCTGTAGAATGGCTTCAACTTAATGGAGCCAGTTCATAGCAGGAAGGTCACAGAGTGTCCTTCTACCCCTATGTCTAAATGTTTCACTGCTCCCATAAAACAAGAGAAGTTGCTGTTTGCCTTGCTATGTCTTTCTTCCAATTCTTGAGTTCCCAGGATGACAAAGGGTAGGAGGGAAGTGCTTATGTGTAGCTCTGAAAGAGTAACCTCTATGCATTCCCTCCTACTGTGAAAGATTGGCAAGCAGTGTCTGTTCAGTGAAAGGTGGGACTTGGGTTTCCACCAAAAGCTGCTGGAAAGCCTGCCTTCCACACTGACCACCTTTCCTGCATGCTGCCAATGCCCAGTGAAGTGGTATATTCCATGGCAGCTGCACAAACATCCATGACAAAAGCAAATGGAAGGCAGACTACAGTGAAGCCATGGGATGCCAGGATGGCCTGCTAATGTCAGGTTTGAGATTCCCCAGGATGAGGCCCTTTTGTACAAGTCAGCATCCAGAAAATAAGTCGTGAACTCTCATTTTCCTCAGAATATCCTCTTTTGCTCACATATGCAACAGGAACAGAATATTTGACCTTAACATGCCCTTATCAGTTCTCAAGACAGAAGTGGCTTAGGTCCAGCTCTAGGGTACTTCTTCATATCTAAATAGCAGGAGTTCACTGTGGCATTTGGAAAACCATCAGGGTTTGATTTTCATATCCATGGTTTGGGTAAGCAGCAGGATGGCTGCCACGGAATTCAAATGTATTAGGGCCAGACCTTCCCTGATGTCACCCTCTCCTCAGGCTACATTGCTGAGGCAGAAAGAACTCAATTCTGTGCTCATCTTCCTTTTACCCAATACCCAATTACTGCAATTCAAATGCTGGTAGATCTTGGAAGCAGAAGGTTCTCTGTCTGTTCTGATGCTCCAGACATGCTTCCAGAGTAAATGTGATGAAGTAAGCCCTCTCCTAAAGGGCAATGGCCCTTTCCAAGGCAAACTAGGGATCAGGCATGAGGGAGGATCACCAGTAGGAATGCTGCTTACAGTCTCCTTGTCAAGTTGTTCCAAATAGAGAGAGCTTTTAGAAGGAACAGATGGCAGAGGCTTTGCCTGAGAGGACTCAGAAAAGCTGGCAATCCGGGAGAAGAGTCGGAAGGAAGCACCCTGCCTGTGCCTTGTCTTGCCCACCATCTCAGCTGTCCTATCTTGAGCTTTCTTCTGCCTGAAGCTACAGAGAGGATTTAGGAAGAAGCAAAATTAATGTCTTCACTTGGCATTCTAATATGACAATATTTTGGGAAAAAAAGTAAGAAATTGTTTTCATTTCACTGCAAGATTTAAACATGGGCTAGAGAGGTTCGAGTTTTTATCCAGCTGTTGAGGTCTCCTCTCACAGCAAATGGGAGAGGCACACATGAGCATGAGGGAAGTTACTGAAGGCTCAGAATATCTCAAAGATGAAGTGGGTTATAAATCAGAAGAAAAAAGAAGTCAGAAGCCTTGAATTTATTAAAGCCAATGAAGAAAAGGCACATGGAGGATCAGAGGAACACCTAGAGATAGACAAACCATGTTGCCTCTTTTGAGTACCTGAAAACTGGAGTTTGTCTGCAATATTGCAGAGCTAGATTTCAAATCTATGAGATGGCACTGCACAACAGTGAGGACTGTTCCTCTGTCCTACCTTTTAGGTGTTTAAGATTCCTACTTTTAAAAATACTTTCCACCACAACCATTTTATTATTAGTTTGCAAATAGAAAAATAAACTCTCAGAAAAATGGAAATCACATGGCCAGTACCAGAAGAGTGGCAACAACTGATTTCTAATGCGAGAGGCCTTCAGGGATTATAAATCAATCTCTCTCTATATACACGCTCTTAAAACTGTGCTGCTGCTGCAGGCTCCAAGAAATGCGTCACTGGACAACAAAAGACCAGGGAGACAGTTCTGGAATGAGCACACTTGCATGATGCTTAGCTAAAAAGCTCTGAAGAGAAGGGCTCTTTTCTTGTTTAGACCTTCAAAGGAAAAAATGCAAGAACAGAGATATTGTGGGTTGGACTTTTCTCACTGTGGTGCATAAATATTCTGTATAATGCTCAAGGATGCTGTCCCTGCTTCTGGCAGATTTAGTCTTCAGAATATTTTTTTCCACAATCTTGAGCATATTTCAAACAAGAGAGTGATGACTTAGTTACAGGTTTCTTTTTTTTACTGTAGGAATTTAAGTGTGACACAGAAATCTTTAGATAGTAAAAAATTTGATGGCAAAATTAATTGAACTCTGAAGTGATTCATTTATACTCTGATCTTGTAAATACGAGCTAGGGTTAAGCATAAGAATCTACACAGATAGGATCAGGAACAGCCACAAAAAAGGTATCTTTCGACTTCATTAGGATTATTTTATTGTGTAAGGAACAATTTAATATGTGTTTGGCAGAATCTTACACAACAGTTGCAGGGGATAAAAAAATAGTGCAATATCAAGAATACTTCACTTTCCCATTAAAGCAAGGCTAAATCCTGCAATTCCTTCTAATAATAATTTTAAAAAATTACAAACAGGTCCAGGTTGAAGTCTGTTTAGACAGACCTCCTGTTATTGCTGCATGCTTTGTCTCAAAAGATAAGGATCTGTTAAGCTCACAGTCAGTACAGTTTCCAAATTCCCCAGACTGAATATCAAATCATCCATGCTCTGATTTATGTTATTAATACAAAAGATGAGGAATTGATACCAACTTTTTTCCTCTGATATCTGGTTTCCTTTGAGAAGGCAGATCAAACTGGCATGTTGCAATAAAAGAAAGGATCTAAGTTGACTTACCTCCACTTTCAGAAGTGCGCAGCCTTTCAAGAACTCTTGAATATTACTGATGCAATCAGCTTCATTTTTAGGCTCCAGGCAATACTAAAGAAAGAAAATCCACTGATCTCATTGCATTGCCTATGCTGAGAAGGCCTGCATGAATATTGACATGTGCCTTTTATACTGAATTAGGGAAGCTTCTTCAGGGGGCGGGTGGGGGTGGCAGGCAAGCTGTTGAAGCAGGAAGAAAGCCACTGGAGGAAGTGATGCACACACAGAAACGGTCGGCATCTTGTTTTGAATGCCAGCATGAGACAGTGCCCTAAGGGACAGTGGGAAACTGATGACCTTTAACAACATGCTGCCCCAAACCACCACGTTAGAAAAACATAACAAACTAGCAAAACTGATTTCTGCATAATGAAAGCCTCCTTTTTTATAGGGTGGAGAACCTTTTGTGTTGTTGGGGTTTTTTTAAAGCTTCTCTTCTGTGTTGCCAGCTCCTATCTCTCATTGGACTCCTTTTTTTTCTCCTTCAGAAATTCTTATCACACTTCTGGACTGTGAGTACATGCCTTGTCAAACTGTAACAGGAGGCATTCACATGGCTTCAATACCAATGGATTTACTGGTCTTCAGACAGACCAAATGACACAGATGCAAGGGTTACTTGCTTATTCCTGTTCCAATCTGCTTCTCCAGTGCATTTCCTGACTAACAAAGCGCGTTGCAGTAAGAGTTTTGAAAGTGAATATATTTACAGTTGCAGTTAATTATATTTACATAAATACTGATACTGATAGCCTTCTATTCAAAATCTAGATATTCTGAACTCTGGTAGACCAAGTATTTCCTGCCACTGACTGAACATGTGTAAGTGAGCCAACTGCAGCCTTGCAGGGTTTTTTTTTTTTCTGGATGTAGCAACAAAATCAAATGAGCTACATACTTGGCTCTCAATTAGAAACTTAAATGTAAAACACCTCCCTCTGAAGCTCCTTGCTCCTCTCTTACCAGAGTAACTGGGCCTCAGAATGCCCAGGGCAGTTTCACTGAGCAGGGCTCTCGTCTCAGGGTAGCAAAATACATCAGAAAGCATTACCTTTTCTGCAGATCCCGGAAGAAGCCGATTAATGAGTTTGCAGAGCACAGTTCCATCTTTTAGAGAAGTTTTCAGGAACCCCTCCGGATCATCTACTATTTTCTTAGGGGAATTTAAGACTCCTAGTGAAATAAGCCACGTCACAATCTGCTCTTCTGGATTCATGGCGGAGAGTTCTGCCACCAGTGCTGTTCTCCTGTACAACAGTGTACTGGAACCCACATCCGTGATTGCATCTTCCTGCTGCAGCTCAAGTGTGAAACTACTTGTTTTTTTTTTTTTTTTTTTTTTTTTGCTTAGTACTGAAACCAAATCTTAAGAATTGAAAGAAATTACTCTAAGGTCAAAAACTGTTGTTAGAATAATTCCTAACATTTGGCAGGATGCAGGAAAAGCAGATTGTTAACTACATCTTTGCAAAATTATTGAAAATGAAAGTATTTTATATTAATAATTACACAAAAAATATCTCACTTAGGGACTTCCTCCTTGTGGCAGCTGGCACCCTATCACCTAGTAAACTTGGTCTGAACTTAAGGTTATTGCCCAAAGACATAAATTACTTAATACTATAAATAACAATGTATTTATAGTGTTAAAACAGAATTCACAATAGTGATGTTTTGGAGGAATGTAGTGCTAAATAAAAATTTTAAACTTTATGTGGCAAACCTAGTTATTAAAATTGCCTTTTACAGTAGTTTTCTATTTTCCATTGTCTGATTTTTTGAAAACAAAATCTGATCATGCACTCTATGTGTAAATCATGCTCCTCTTTAACTGTTGTGTAGAGGTCCACATATATAATCCAAAATGGTAGTCTCTCAAAACAACTACCTGGATAACTTCAAAAAGGTCAGGAATTTAAGTCATCCTAAACTGAGAATAAAAATCCTAACTGTTTTACTTGTCTTATTAAGATGTCCCCTTCTACGATTACTTCAGGATCCACTGAAGGTAGTTTTAGTTTTTCACCCTGCCCAGGGCAGTATTAACCATCACTATTTAGCACAGCAAGTCAGAAAAGTCCATTCATCTTTAGAACTGTCCTTTCACCAGAACAGATGGAAAACGAAGCAATTCTGTTGAGGAAGTTGGAGCATCACGGCTTGAAGCAATCCAACAGGAACAAAGTATCCTAGAGACCAGAATTCTTGGTTACAATGTTATGAGTCAATTCCTACCCTGTTACTTAAAACAGCTGTTTTCAAGAACCCAGTGTTACCAAACTACTTAGGATTTAAAGGCTCGGGAAAAACAGAGCAGCAGGATAAATCGTGCACTGTAAATGTGCATGGTTTTGCCTCAACTTTGCAGTTCTTATGACTGGTACTGGGATCTACCTACGGACCTGTTTGAACAGCCACCAGTAAATCAGAACTGTCCTTTTAGTGTTAGACACAATTCTGATCCTTTAGAGGGTTTTGGGATCAGTTCCAGGTCTCTGTAGTGGGAAATAAATACTAATAACACACGGCTGCAGGCACTGAATAAAGTGGGTTACAGCTCAATCACAGCTCCTGTTTTTTAGTGAGGCACATTTACAAACGTGTGCAAAATATTTCAAAATTATGACTAATTGGCAATTCAGATGTTTTGGGTTTTTTTTCAGATGTCATGAGCACTACTATTTTGCAGAAGGAAATACATACAGTATCCACTTTCATAATTATTTTTTCAAATCTGTAGGTTGTAGGTAGCCAAGACAACTACTAAGGCTCGTTTATCACTGGGTACACACATTTGGATACAGAAGACACCTCAGTCACCTCATCAGAACACAGCACTTTCCAAGGTAAAGAGAAATACTTCCAACACTGGGGAGAACTGCACACCCGCTTCATTGAAGTCAGTGTTACAAACCAAACACCAAAGCACTTCACCCATTTCCTCCTCTGAAGGAAACCTTTGGTATAATAGATGTGCAGGTTTAGTTTTATGATTCCATATGCAGCTGCTGCAGCCAAGAAGATATTAATGCCTGAAACTACAACTAAATGAAAATACTTCTCACATCTTAAACACTTACCAACTGCTTTAAAGACCTGCAGATATGGATATTCACAAAGTCCAAAAATTTATGGAGTTTTTGATTAGCCACTTCAATCCCAACCTCACATCCTTTAGAGTCCTTTCTGTACACATTCCAGCTTGTTTACCCACTCCCGCACCAAAATTAATTCTGTGGCAAACCCAGGGTATGAAGGTAGAGTCACTAAAGAACAGTGACTAGTCAGTGACTAGAACAGAACTAGTATGGTCTTTGGGAAGGCTTCACCTTTGGCTATTTGCTGACAGCAACAAATCAAGTGAATCGTCGATCATCTCCTGCAGAGTCAACTTAGTTACAAATTCTTATTTACAGCCTGATTGATACCAGTGATGACTAAATAGCACAGTGTTACTCTCAAAGGGGGAGGCTTTCCTATATCCAACTACCAAGTGACTCTGGCAGCATACACATCAGACCAGCAGTGACAGGAGCAAGGTAAGAACAGCAGCCACGTATTCAGAATAATTTTTGAGTGGTTCTTCTCGAAGTCATTAAGGCATTCACTTTTTTTTTACAGCAGAGGGAAAACACTCAAGACTGCAAAGAACAGCACTGGAGTATTTGTCTGCTGCAGAATCTAGGGATACATTTCAACTGTAGCTTTCAATGACGAAGTTTGACTCTGTGCATGAGATAATACTGCAGATCAGGGTACACTCATTAATTAGGATTCTAGGCAGGCACTAATCTTACAGTAGCTGCCATTTTGGCATTACACTTTAGGTAGGATGATCCAGTTCAGCCTGAACAGCAGCACTCCAGACTACAAGCTAATACTGAAAAAGGAGTCTGATAGTACAGAATGTTACTTCTTCTTGCAGAAGCGATACCGAGATCACCTTGTAACAATAACCTTCCAAGATGTAACACCAGTAATCTTTACCACCATCCCAGTTTCTCTGAGTAAAACATGTTCTTCTTTTTAATCAGACAAAAAAACCAAACCCGTAATACTTGTCAACAGTAAATTTATTTGCCCTGAGAAATACTGCAATTCTACCAATCTGCTACACAGATTTACTTCTGGAATCTGCAGCCCATTACTGATGTTTAAAGTGATACCCTTACCCCAAATGTAAAGATTTAAATCTGTAGACAAGGAATGCATGCTTTTTCTTCTTTAGCTATTCATTATGAACTGAGGGTTGTTTAAATGACATCAGTTTATATCTATCACAAAAGTCAGTGTAAATTTTATTATCCATGATTGTTTATGAGTTTTCTACATGAAATAGCAATGCCTAAGGATTCCTCTCACATACATTGGCCCATCAACATGTATGTAAGAGAAAAACACATCAAAATCAAGACAAAGCTTTGAAGGAAGCACCTACTCCCAAGAGATGTAGTGCCATCCAGTGTACATAGAGAATACTAATTATTCTGGGCATTCATCACTAACATTGATTGTCTCAGTACACCAACACTCTCCTCTTCTCATCCAGAAGGTCGGGACAAAACTGTTAATGTAATATAGCAGAAGTTTTCATGATTTCTTGGTGAAGTCCCCTGTATTCAAGAGGACTAAGGCTCACATCTGTTTAACTTGGCTCTTCTTATCAGCATAAATGGCAAGCACACACATAAAGGGCAATCCAAGTACTGTGCTGCTGTAGGGTGCATGAGCAATGAGCCAGCTCACTCTGGACTGTTTGAAGATGCCAGCTATGGCAGGCAGTGGTTGGCTTCCACCAGGAATTTTAGGTATGTCCAAGAGATCAGTAGTGCCACCTTAAAAGGCAACCCCTGAATGCTTCCACACAATCCTCTAGAAAATGGTGGGCAACACTACACTCAAATGCCAGGCTGTATCAGTTGTGATTTGTTATCCTTCGATTTTCCAATGCATATCCACTGCTGCACTGCTACCTTCTAGCCACTGTAACTGGAAAAAGGAAATGCAAGTTAGTATCCACTCAGAAGCCAAGAGACAAAAAAGCTAAATTAGCTTGAATTAAATTTATATATACAATTAATACATTTGGATTGTATTTTATTTGTTCCAACAGTATGAAAGCACATCAATAGCTAACTACAATAATCAAAATGCCCTGAGGACAACTTGCATTAATTCACACTCCTTGTATAACACCGTCTCCAGGGCAGGTACTAAGTACTGCAATTCCTGTGTGTATTCCCCCTTCAAATTCTACCCACTACAAAATCCCACCAGCTCTTGATAATCTCAGGAGTTCTGTAATACATTGGTATACATATTGGTACTAATCTGTAAGTAATAATGCACTATAAATTAAATACAGCATGCAACCAAGGAAAGGTAAACACCTGGCAATTCCAATTACACCCTGGTTTTCCACAAGGCTATTATTACCTTTCTTGCCACAGGTTAAGGTCTATTTACTGCTCCCTTAACACGGGTACCATGCCTGTTAAGAATCTGGAAACATTTAGAAGCTGAAGAGAAGGCTGAGAGTGTGCTTTTGCCTCTAATACCTGTATTCATTACAACATGGTCACAAGAGATTTACTAAACTGATCCACTAAAAAAAGTGGATAATACTAATATAATATAATACTAATAGAATACTATTTTTTTAAAGGGAAGCTTTTTCACTGGTCAAGAATAATTAAGCTTCAGCTTCCCAGCTAACAGAGAGAATTAAGGTGCACACACACGAAGTTTAAAACGTTCTGACACAATCTGTACGATGATTTGTCAGTATCTTTTGAAGTCTCCTAGAATACTGCGTATTAAAGACAGCATTTTGTCTCTTATTAGAGGATCCAAGACACGGATCTGTGTCAAATTATAAATTTGAAAACTGACTCCTGATGGCTTTTTGTAGGTGGGTGGGGGAGTGAAGGGGAAATGCTATTTTTAGACCTATTTCCCTAATCTATTTTAGTAGCACTAGTGACATCAGTGATTTTTGAATGAAAAAGGTTTAAGTTTTCTTAACCTTTAGAAACACCTATTGTGAAGTGTCCTTTTAATAAGACTCAAATTTAAATATTTCAACAGTCACATCTTAAAAGGAAAACAAAGACAAGGACAGCATTTGCTGGTCGAAATTTTATCAAGTGTCAGAAAAATAAAAAGCTGGTAGGGCAGTAGCTTTTATTTCACTTAACTACATGCATCCCCTGAACAGAAAACACTTGTGATGATTCTGCATTTTATCTGAAACACAATCCAGTACCCCGAAACAAAGCGTATTTTTCCTTTATTATCACGGTAACAGGAGGAATTTATCAGGAGTATTTATAAAACATTACTGGGATATTCTGACAAGGGCATTGCACAGTTACTCAGCTGCTGTTACTGAGACTCTATAAGGAGAATGAATTATAACCCAATCGAGGCTACCAACATCAC